AGGATTGTAAGAGAAAAGGTTTAGTGAATTTAAATGAAAATGTAGGACCCACTCAGCTGATTATCGTACAACCCGACTATGTAGGTATGCAGAAAAAATGGTTTGAAGAATCCCTTAATACAGCGTTTGCCAAACTATTCCTAGTCGCGGCGCCCTTTTTCAATTAAAATGTTTCCATGGCGCCCTACTCTTAGTATGACTATTCGTAAGTAAGAGATAAAAATAAATAAAACTCGTGTGTAAAAGTAGTTTTACTTTGTTTTCGCAACTTGGTCATATTGGTAGGAAGACTTAGAGGAACGCAGCTAGTCCGGAGTCAAACAACTTCTATTCCACAAAAGGAGACTGCGACCACAAAAAAGGCCACACCATCTTGGTTTTCATACCTTCGATTAAAACTCGCGTATATTCATTATTTTTTTACTTTATTAACATTAAATTAATATTCACTAATTAATGTGATGGATGAGCCTGCAAATCACTGCACATTTTCTCAAATTAAAGCTCTTACAATATTTCGCGGAGCTCAGTTTTGGAATCACTGCCTTAATAGATTACTGTTAACTCCGTCCTGCCAACCCGAGGCCGGTGCGCCGAGGACCTATTCGCCCAAATCTACAGTCACTGCTCCAAGGCTATAGCTCTACAGCTTAAGGAGGGACCAACAAACACATTCCTTGCACTCGCCTCTTTAAATGAAATGGACGGTGCTCCAACAATCCTCCAACCATCGCTCCTTCAATCAACTTAACCGACCCATAGTCAGTAATTTGTATTGCTTGAATATGTATAAGCCTGGAGCATATCAAAACATCTTGAATAAGCGTCTCAATCACCTTCAAGCACAAAGTGAGATCAAGGGATGGCAGTTGACTTTTGCCACAGCACGACGAGTAAGCCCAGAGTCTCCGTTAAACTTCCCGTGGTCCTGCTTGATTCGACTTACGATCCCACCTCGCAACACAGTCTCCCCATCTCTCGTCCAAGCTCAACCGACAGTCTCGACCGCCTATTCACTTGGGATGTCATTAGTGCTGCCAACTGTAAAGGCGACAACCACAGCACATAAATCTGACATTTGTTGACATTCATTTCTGCCCCATCGCCAACCGGTAGCATGTTAAACCCTACGGCATCCTACCACAATCACAGTTCGAGTTCCGTTGAGGGAACTGATGAGGCGACAGTTCCGGCGAGGTCGAACCTGCAGTAGAGTCCAGCAGAGAAGCGAAGCTAAGTGAACTTTACTTCATCTCTCGAGGCGCACTCATATCATTTCCGTATAATTGACACTCTCTTCTTCATCAGCTCATGCCCGAGTTCACTTGCCCAAAACTTTTGTTTATGCTCTTGCTGGCTGCTGTAATTGAGCATGGCAACAGTCTTCACACAGCCCGTTCCTGGACTCGCTTCGTCTCATCTTTCGTCCGAGACCCGGTGGACGACAGAAGCGACCCTCTGTCGAGCCCGAGTTCGAGTCCGGCGCCAGCAGACGACGCACCAATCGACCCTCAGCCCTGCCGAGCCCCGGCAGGAAAGAATGACACCCAGCCCACATGCTCTGGGCCTAGTCGTTCAAGAGGACTGACTCGACTGACCGGCCACCGGTCGTCACGGCGACTACTGCCGCCGGTCAGCGGGACTCGAACCAGTGTAGCCTGGCGACTTAAGGTTCGCGTGGGCCACGCCAGGGCAGGACTTACTCGAAGTCTCTTCTTCCGCTCTCCCCCGGCTGGGGGCGTTTGGCGCCAGTTGCCAATCGTCTCGTCGCACCAGGTCCGAGGCCGCACTTTTCGCAACGTTGAGCCTCGGTGTGTCTTCTCTCCTCGGTGGGC